TGGGTGGCGGGGGTTGCAGTATTTTTCTTCTAATTAGTATTATATATAAGCTAATAAATAAACTCTTTCTGTCATCACTGAACACTGAAAAACACTTAAAAGTTATTACAATTCAACTCTAGTCAGTAAGTTTTTCATAAAGATTACTCTTTTTTGCATTTTTATGAAAAGGGTGTTTAAATCTTTGATTATATGTTCTTGTACTTACAAAAATCTAGTTTTTTTCTTCTAATTTGATATGTGTACTTTTCTTTGACCCTGGTATGTCACCTGGTTGTTTTCTGTTATACTTTGTTGGTGTCTTTATGTTTATTTGGTCTAATGATAACAAATCAATGGAGTCAGTTGACTATTTCTGTGTTTGTTTTTCATAAAGATCACTCTTTTATGCATTTTCTTGAAATGGTAAAAAAAGGTGTGTGGATAAAATAGGCTGGTTGTCATTTTCTTGGAGGGTTTGTGTTTCATTTTTAGTTTAGTTTTGTCTGATGTAAATGTAGAGAACAATCAATGGAGCCAACAGATGTTGCAGTCTCTGAAAACCAACACCTCTCTGCTGACCCTTTGCCTTTTGCAAGAAGGTTGGCATCTTACATTTATTTTCTCTTTTAATTGAATTAGAAAAAAACAATTGATTTAATGAACTTTTGTAATGTATATGTTGATTTTGTTATGTAGTTATCAGTTGGAAGCCCTTGAGATTGCATTAAAGCAGAACACAATTGTTTACTTGGAGACCGGTTCTGGAAAGACCTTGATTGCAATTATGCTTCTTAGAAGCTATGCTTACCTTCTTCGAAAGCCTTCTCCGTACATAGCTGTTTTCTTGGTCCCGACTGTTGTTCTAGTGACTCAGGTAGTACTTATAGCTTCTCAATCTAGTCCCTTAAAATTCATCATCTTAATGTGTATATTTTTATGAATGGATGTATCCACTAATTTCTATCCCGTCTAAAGATTGTAGAGCTGTTTTTTCCCAATTAGTTTTCTCATGTTTTACAGTTTGTTATATGTTTGAGGGGTTGCTTGGTTTAAGGTCCAGAACTATCTATTTGACTTGTCATAATGTCGTTGATCTGTGATTTGATAATTACAAGCAAGGAGATGCTCTGATGATGCATACCGACTTAAAAGTGGGCAAATATTGTGGAAAAATGGGTGTTGATTATTGGAATGCAGCTACGTGGCAACAACAAGTGGACGATCATGAGGTGTGTATGAACCATATTTTATCTTCAGTGATAAATTATAAACCGTTGTTTGAGTTGGCAGCGAATAGGCGTTGTATATATATTACTTAGATGCGTCATAAGTAATCACTGCAGGGTTTCGTCTTTCAGGTACTTGTTATGATACCGGCAATACTACATGCTGCTTTGAGGCACAGCTTTTTACAAATGGACATGATAAAAGTTATAATATTTGATGAGTGTCACAATGCACGAGGCAAGCACCCCTATGCCAGCATAATGATGGTACATTGTTTGTGCTAAGATTATATTTTCTGAAGTAGTGCAATTTCTTCATATGGACAATCCTGCTTGAACATGTCTTGGTATGGTGCTTGAACAATTCTTATCTTAGAGGGTTAATTTTCTTTCAGGAATTTTATCATCACCAGTTAACCCGTGAGAACGCACAACTTCCAAGAATATTTGGAATGACTGCTTCCCCTATAAAGTCTAAAGGTTGGCTATATTTGATCTTATATCTTTGGGCATCTTTTGGGATGTTTCTGCATCATACTGTTAAAGAACTGGTTATCTCACTTTCTCTAGATTCTCATGTTTATACTTTTTATGCAGCTTCTAGCACGGCAGATAGTTATTGGCAAAAGATTCGTGACCTCGAGAATCTCATGCATTCCAAGGTTCTCTCAATTAATCTTCTTGTAATTCAGAGAAGGAAACTGTGCAAGCCTGAAACTTTTAGCTCTTGGATGATTGTCATATCGTTTTTATATGCAGAAAGTCATAAACACACATTTAGATATATATTTTCCGTTCCTCTAATTGTGATCTCCCTTTGCAAATGAAGGTATACACGTGTAGCAGTGAATCTGTTCTGGCGGAATATATCCCATTTTCAAATCCAAAGCTGAAAATATATGAACATGTGGATATTCCTTGCACATTGTTTCATACATTAGTTCATGACCTGGAAAGGTTGAAAGAAAAGGTAAACATCAATTCTATAGCCAATGGATTTTGTCTTTCTACTTTGCAGATTGTTCATGCAAACCATTCGTCCTGCTCTAAAGATATCAATTATCATTAAGCTTATGTTTGACTCTTTCCTTCTCTATAATTGTGTGCAACCAGAAAACTGAAAGTTCCTTGAAAGAATACCAAGACTACTAACTAAACCTTAATTTATCCTTATAGTAGCGATTGGGGCAATCACGTTAGCTTGTTCAACATATGGGTCAGACATTTTTACTCTTCCAATTTTAGTTGTTTTAACTTCTCTTATCATCGCAGCATGAATGTTCTATTTCACAGTCAAATCTGTCTTTTATGAGAGATGGATCTGCAAGAAGACGTTTATCAAAACTTCATTCGGATTTCTTATTTTGTTTGAGTGAGATGGGTGCTTGGCTGGCTTTCAAGGTAAATTTTGTTCCTTGCTGGTTCCAAAATAAACAAAATAAACGTTTTGGCCTTGATCATTTTCCTAACATGACTTCATATTGAATTTGGTGGCCAAGTCCTGTGAAGAAAATGATCTCTGTTCGTCGGACGATGCATGTGTTAGAGATTTCTGCTTGACTGCATCTAAGATTTTCTCGGCTCGCTTACCTTCTGGTATCACAGTTAGCAGCATCCATTTTCTTTTCTCTCTGAATTGTAAGATTGTTTTTTGATTTCCTTCTGCTATATGTCTCTCTCACTCACTCGTCCCTGTAAACATAGGACCACATTGGTCAATTGGAGGTGATATTCAGGCTAATGTGGATGCTGGATATTTGTCATCCAAAGTTAATTGTCTTCTAGAGTCTCTTCTCGAGTACAGGTGAGAGCGGTTGAATAATGAATCTACTAATTAGTCAAAAGCTTTAATGCCAGTTCAATCTATTGGATGTTTGGAGAACAAATAGAAAAAAGAGAAGTGGTCGGTTAGATTCTTTAAACATTTTGTGTCTGCGAGAGACTCCTTTGAAGAAGGAAGGTTATCTTTTTGTTTCCCTGGGCGAAATGGACCTGCTTTACTTTTCTTTCAGAGATTTTGAGGAAGCACATATAGAATGATATGTGATTTAGTGTTGATGCAATTAAATATATATAAGATCTTACAGTTCCTTTGTATTGTTATTGAGCCTACTTTGGATTCATCAATAATTATATGAACTTCCTTTGGGGAACAGTTTGGACAGTTTCTGAGATTATCCATTCTGCTGTTGGGAAATCGGATTCTATATTTAGTGATTTACTTACAAACAATCTTATCGTTGGTAACAGGGACCGACAGAATTTAAGATGCATCATATTTGTTGAGAGAATTATTACAGCCATTGTTCTTCAGTCTCTATTGAATGAGTTGCTTCCGGAACGAAGTGGTTGGAGAACTGAGGTCACAACAGGGCGTATTTCTATGGTCAAACAAAATAAAATTGTTGAAGAATTTCGCAAGGGGTTGGTAAGTCTAAAATTCTTTTTTTTTGGCTTTCTAGATAGTTTCTGAAGATTTGAAGTCTGATATCCATGCAAACACTGCAGGTGAACATTATTGTAGCGACATCGATTCTTGAAGAGGGCTTGGATGTTCAAAGTTGCAACCTCGTCATTAGATTTGATCCCTCAACTACTATTTGTAGCTTTATACAATCACGTGGAAGAGCTCGAATGCAAAACTCCGACTTTCTTCTGATGGTCAGAAAGTATGTTTTGTCTATCTATTCTAAATGATACTATGAATAGTTTTCAGAGTCCTGTCATTATTGTTTTTGGTGTATTATTTACTGAAACATTCTATTTCTGTTGTTGCCGCTTGCTATTACACTGTTGCTATAAAAAGATTAAATGAATTTTTTTTAAAAGAATCTAACAGACAAACAATTACTTTAGTTCTTGACATTTTGTGCAAGTATCAATGATAAAATTTGGAAGATTTGATTATAACAATGGACTGATCTTTCTCATTTTGACTCATATCCTAGAGGAGATGATGCAACCCTTACTCGCATGCAGAACTATATGGCTAGTGGGGAGATAATGCGGCAAGAATCATTACTCTATGCTTCTATTCCGTGCTCACTTCTATATGATGAATTGCATGATGAGCCTTGCTACAAAGTTGAAAGCACAGGAGCAGTTGTCACCCTCAGTTCTAGCGTGTCATTGCTATACTTCTATTGCTCAAGGCTACCGTCGGATGGGTTTGTACTCTGCATATTCTCTTGCTATGTGTTAAGGATTCTGGTATCTTCGAGTATTTCATGTGTTAAATATTGCATTATGGCCTGACATTCAATTTAATTGTAGGTACTTTAAACTCAATCCTACGTGTGAGATAGATGAGGAAACAGGAACCTGCACGCTACAACTTCCCAAAAGCTCGCCACTGCAAGGAATTATTAGCGTACAGGGGGATAGAAAAATATTGAAGCAACTTGCATGCCTGGAAGCTTGTAAAAAACTTCATCATGTGGGTGCCTTGACTGACAATCTTGTTCCTGATATCGTGGAGGAAGAAACCATCAACAAAGAATTGGGTAATTCTAACATCGTTTATCTGATGTAATTTTTTTAGACTGTGGTACTTGACTTCTAACCTATTATATTGTGCAGAATGTAAAATAAAAATTGTTGAAGAATCATTATACTATCCATCAGAATTTGTTAGTCATTGCGGCAATGAGTCAGAAGCAGTGTACTACTGCTACCTAGTTGAGTTGCAACATGACTCTTACAACGATTTCCAGCTTCATGGGATTATACTTGCTGTTAGGACAAAGCTCAAGTGTGATGATGAAATATTGGCATTTGACTTGGACATTGATAGGAGGGGACGCTTGCAAGTTCAACTTAATTATAGTAAAGTTGTTACACTTACTGCTGAAGAGGTGATTATAATTTTGATGGCTCTTATCATCTTTTTACTCGTTACCTGTAAAAATGGTTGGTGATACTTTTTATCTATCTCTCCAGATTCGACGGTGTCAGAGGTTTCAAGTCAGTGTCTTCAGAGTTCTTCGTGACCGTGATCTGAGTAAACTGCAGGATGTTTTGGCTGCTGTTCAATCACCTATTGGTTCTGCAGTTTCCGATTATCTGTTGCTCCCATCTGTGGGTACACCCCCTGAGATAAATTGGAAATGTGTGAATTTTTTGCTGTTTCAGTCTCAAGTTCTTGGGGATAAGCATATGGATTGGTGTTCTACTCAAGGTCGCAAACGCAATGTGAACACCATAACTGGGGTGGTATGTAGCTGCATGTTGGAGAACTCATTAGTATGTACACCTCATAGTGGGAATATATACTGCATAAACGGTTTTTTGGATAATTTGGATTGCAACTCATTAATGGGTGTGAGAACTGAAGAATCTATTACCTACAGAGAACACTTCAAAAAGCGGTTTGTACAATTAGCTTCCGATTTCCTGGTGCACCTTTTCGATATATCATATTTTGGTTTCAAAATACTAAGTAAGGTGTGGTTTACAGGTATGGGATCAACATATGCTTTGAAGAAGAACCACTTCTTAGGGGAAAACATATTTCTAAGGAAGCTAAAGGTTTGATAATATGGTTCTCTTTTTATTATAATGCTTATCTATGATCACTTAGCTTTGGCCTCTTTCGCAGATTCATCTGTCGAATTGCCTCCTGAACTTTGTTCCCTCATCATGTCACCTCTCTCTATTTCTACCCTTAATACCTATTCATATGTTCCTTTGATTATGCATCGTATTGAGTCCTTGATTATGGCCTCGAAGTTGAAAAGAATGCATTTGGATCACTGCACACTGAATGTTCTTATTCCAACCGCCAAGGTTTGTGCTGCTATGATCTCATCTCAGATCTTTGCTCTAATTACATCAGTCTTTCTTAAGCTGTGAGCTTCATACATACTCTTGTGCCCACAACTTACTCCTTGTTTTATTATTTTAAGATTTTGGAAGCAATGACAACGAAGAAATGCCTCGAGAAGTTTCATTTGGAATCACTTGAGACACTTGGAGACTCTTTTCTCAAATATGCTGCCAGTATACAGCTGTTCAAGACTTATGAAAATGATCATCAGGGTCTTCTCACCGTTAAGAGAAAACAAAGCATTTCCAATGCTGCACTATGCAAGCTTGGATGTGCTCGTAAAATACCGGTAGGTATTCCTTTGTGTTCAACTCCATGTCTCTATTAATCATGGGAGACTTATGTTTTTCTTTCTGATGTCTCATTGATGACTAAGTACAACCAAGGAATATTTGCTCGTACACTTTGATCAAAGATCCGATATTGACTGTTAATCATGTCTACCACCTAAAAGTTGTCGACTCTTGCATATAAACATTCTCTACTTCCCGTCCTTGCCCACACAACTGTTTACTGTTTGTTATGATGGAAATTAGTAGTTATTCATATTTATAAAACATGCATATTTCGTCAGTGCATCAATTGGAGTACATTTATTTTAAGGACATGTCAATTTTGAGTGAGTGCTTTCGAATACTTGTATTTAAAGAGTTCCTACAGTTAATATTTTATTGGTTTAACTGCATAGTTTTGTGCTTGCTGGATGCAAATGCTATCTGAATTCTTTTTCTTTTTTCTTCTTTTGGTTTTCCCTTCAATAAATTCCTTTGATTACAGGGATTTATCCGTAATGAACCATTCAATCTTAAGGCATGGATCATTCCTGGTAATAATTCTCAAGTTCACAGCTTCGACGAAGAGTTCCTAACGTCCTCAGATAAAATGTATAGTAGGGTAAAACAGAAGATTAAAAGTAAGAGAGTGGCTGATGTGGTCGAGGCACTAATAGGTGCCTACCTCAGCTCGGGTGGGGAAGTAGCCGCTTTATCATTTATGAAATGGCTTGGGGTGGACATCAATTTTGTTGATGCACCTATGTCAAGGCACTTTCCCATGAATGCTGAGAAGCTAGTTAATGTCAGATACTTGGAATCCCTGCTGCATTACAAGTTCAATGATCCTTCTCTGCTTGTTGAAGCACTAACTCATGGATCTTACATGCTACCTGAGATTCCACGAAGCTATCAGGTTATTCCCGTAAATAAATATCATCCATCTTAATGTTGTTAAATACTGTTGGGTTTTCCACAATGCTATCAACTTATTCTCGTAAATAAATAGGAACATGTTTCTTCCAAAGAGACATTTCCTTTCCCAAAAGACACCATGCCTGTTCTGAACAGGTGAGTTCGCACCTATCGTTAGCTATAAATAGAGAGGTTTCCTCTCAGTTTTCTGTATCGAATTTTCTCCTGTTTCTACATACATTTTTTTACAAACAAAATACAAGTCTGTGTGATTTTGTTGTTGACTTTTAAGTTTGCTGAAGTTATTGAAGTGTGAGACACCGCTACTTCTTTAATAGTTATATCTGTTTCATCCTGGGAAGAAATAATCTACAACTTTGGGTACAATGAGGAGATTAAATTACTCATCTTAATAATATATTTCTGGTTCACTATTTTGAATACAACAGATGTCAAATACTTGGATCTATATTTTGCAGTATGATTACTAAAATATAATGTTGCCTAGAATCTAGATTGGGAAGTTGTGAACCTGAACATTTCATTAACCTAAGGCTGCATACCTAGCATTTGATGGTTCTTCTTACTGCTGCTAGTGTCAAGGAAAAAAATGTTTTCTTTTATTCATTCAAGGAAGTTTCATGGCTTTTTATAGGTGATAATATGAATCCTGTCTCGCTCTCTTTGCATCTTATTCTTAATTCAAGATGTGTATACTCACATTTGGATCAATCTATTGTATGAGCTCTCAAGATAAGTAGTATCATAAAAACAAGAGCCACTTTGTGTCTCTTAGAACAGCTGAGGAAGAAATGATACAATGTTTAGATTAAGAATGTCAAGTTCGGCCTTTCCTAAGTAATTATGAGTTCCCAAGTAGAAATTGAATGCTAGAGCAGCAAGACTCGCGTTGATTCAAATGCTGATATATATGATCACCTGGCTTTGCAGCGCTTGGAATTTCTTGGAGATGCAGTGCTAGATTATGTTGTTACAACACATCTCTATTTCAAATATCAGGGACTGACTCCAGGACTAATTACTGATTTGAGGTCTGCCTCCGTAAACAATGAATGTTATGCTCTATCTGCAGTTAAGGCTTGCCTGCACAAGCACATTCTTCATGACTCGCAAGATCTGCTAAGGCATATATTTAGTACTGTTGAGGATTTCGAGAAATTGGACCTTGTGTCCACATTCGGATGGGAGGTTGAAGCTGCTTTCCCAAAGGTATTGTATACTTACCTCAAAAGTTATGATATAGAAGAAAAAGTTACTGAAAGGTCTTTATCTTAAGCCAATTTGTTACGAGTTTCAACTTGTTTTCCTTTGTGGTTCTCTATAGGTGCTTGCAGATGTTATTGAGTCCCTTGCTGGTGCGATCTTTGTTGATTCTGGTTTCAACAAAGACACTGCATTTCAGAGCATAAGCCCTCTTTTGGAACCGTTGATTACACCTCAAACACTGAAACTCCATCCAGCAAGAGAGTTAAATGAACTATGTGCCCAGAAAGGTTATATAAAGAAGAAGAATGTCGACTTTCGTGAGAATGGTATAGTATATATTACAGTAGAGGTTGAAGCAAATGGTGCTATTCACAAGGACACACACTCGGGACGAAACGAAAAAATGGCCAAGAAGGTGGCTAGCAAAAAAGTGCTCAAGTCTCTCAAAGAATATCCATACAATGCATAGCAATAGTTGTTTCTTTCTGCTACTTCAGTTGACAAAATTTTAGGATATTTGTTTTGATTCTCAGTTTTAAAAATTGGGAAAAAGGACAAATATACCTATGTGCCCCTGCCCCTGCCGTCCAAAAATTAGAGCATATATATCTTTCACTCTAACAGAAGATCAAATAGGGACACCTGGCGCAATCTTATCCGTCGATCTGATATTTAATAAATATTGGATCGGTGAATAAGATTATGACACGTGTATGTTTGTTAGTATAAAGAGTATATATGTTTTAGTTTTTGGACGACAGGAACATCAAATGTCCAAAAGTATGACGGAGGGTATCTGGATATCATTTATGATAGTACGAGAGTATATTTGTCATTTTTCCTTTAAAACTTTATTGTAATGTACTATTGGATTAATTGTTATTAATAAAAATGCTCATTTTTTGTACCAGTAAGAATGATATCTTTTTTATATTGAAACTTCTTTAGAGCTTGTCTTCAATCATAAATATCTTTCATATGATTGTAGGCATGTAATAATAAAATTAGTCACCTAAAAGCAAATTTTTGATAAAAGATTCAACTATTTTTAAAATGTTAGTGTCGCCTATCTTTTTCTTACCATGCAAAAAAACATTTAATTTCATATGATGATATTATTATTTATTTTGACAAGATATTAGTCATCCGTTGTATCTAGTGCTAACAAAAATTAGAAATTGCTTCTTCAACAACTATTTTTAGAAAAGGATGTCATAATCTCTCTTTAACGCTTTAAAATGAGTTGGAAAGCTTTTCTTTTAAGGCAAAAATTTGAATAATTTACTTTAAAGTTTTAAATATTAGTATTATTATTAAAGGTTAGGTAGTCTTTATTTATTTATTTATATTTTTTGAAAAACTTTAATATTGCCTAAGCCAAAACTTTGAGAGCCTAAAGAAAAAAAAAGGTTTTATTAGCCTCCCTCTTGAACGTCTTTAATTTTGTATTTATTTTATTACATTTCAATTAATTCTTGTATTTAATTTTATTATATTTGTTATATTATGATTCCCAAAAGGTTTTAAAATGTATCAATTGTACTATTTCCGTCCACTTTAATTGTCATGGTTTCCTTTTTTAAAGTCCAACGATAAGTACTTTGACTAACATTTTATGATATATTTTTTCATCATATTGATATGCAAAAATTTGTAATTTATAGTATTTTTCGTATAGTTTTTGAATATCTAATTTTTTTGTTTAAAATATCAAATTAATGCAATCTATCACTTTGAAAATTAGTCAAATTAACTTTCGAAAAGCGTAACATGACAATTAAAAGTGAACGAAGGGAGTAATAAAGTTCATCTTTTTGAAATTTTGAATTCATTGATGCTTCTTAGATCTACCTCTTCGTAATAGAACATTCATCTCATCGAAATCATGAAATCATTAATGCTTATTAAATGAGTAAATGTTCATTTAATGGACTAAGAACTAGAATAAAATGAAAAATCCTTTTGGCCAGAATAGTAAAATAACATATTTCACACTATGTTATTTTACCTTTTTGAACATTTTTACCATTTTAATTTTAATACATTTTAATTAAAAAATGGAAAAAAAATCAGTTTATTTTAAAATAAAAAGGATATTATATACTTTTTAAATTTTTGGTCAAATTTTCTGGCCATTTAGCATTACCCTGAATAAAATAATATGTCACTTAACTAATTTTACAACCAACAGAGAGTAATTCAAAAGATATATCCTTGATTTATAATTAGATAATGTAATGTATAGAATAGCTTGTTAAAAAAAGATAATCAGATAAAACTCCATGAAGCAAATGAATAATATAAATGATTCAAAAATTAAATAACCCTTTCGACCAAAGTTTCTGATTAATAATTTACTGCGCAATCAATTTAAACCAACTAGTTACTAAGACCTCGTGTTGTGCATACATTCAATATTTTTTCACAAATTTATTTTTAAATGGTATGAATTAAACGATATTAAATTATTTCATTAAGTGTAAAATAAATATTATTAATATTGAAAAAAATTAAATTGTATTGATTAAATGATTTTAAATTCTTACTCAAAAATAAATTACACTATATTTCTGTGATAGAAAATCATTTCTTCTTCTTTTTGTCAAATTTATTGTAAGGGGTCCATTAAGATGTCCATAATTAAAGTATTTTTTTTGTTATCGATTTAATTTTTTACTCAAAGTAATTACAAAACATATACTATTACCATCATTCAAAATAATAAAGCTATAACAAAAGAATATAAATTTAAAACTAAACGTCATAGCTAAAACATATCAAATTAAATTAAAGCAGTATAATAAAAATATTTTTTTAAAATTTTTTTCAAAAATATCCTTACTGAAGCACAGGCAAATCGACACTTCAAGCTCTCTCGTATAATAAGAGAAATTATGTGCATATTGTTATAAGATAG